TCTTTCCCCCCCCCCCCCCCCCCATGCTACAAATCACGAAAGATATTACATAAATATCAAATTAACAATTTATTCAATTAATTATTTGTATCAGTGAAAATTATATTTTTAACTAAACGAGGAAAATATTTATTAATTTTACGTCTATAATCGTATACTATTTGTCGTCAATTTAATTTTTTTTATAACATAAAGAATTAATTTTTTGCCCAACATTTAACTAGATAAAAATCTGAAAATAATTTTGTTAAACCATCAAAACATTTAAGTAGGACACTCAAGCTGGTTGCTAGATGTCAAAACTTTTTTGCAGCACTACTCATTATATTTTAGCGTTTTACATAATAATTTTAATAATCCAGCGAAGTTATTTTCAGATCTGTATCTCTAGCTAAATTGTTAGATACTTCAACAAAATTATTCTTTTCGTGTACATTCGAAACTATATTTCTAGCCGTAATATTCATGACGTATTTCTGCGGATCACTTTTTCAATTTCATTCCTACCTTTGTGCAGCAACTTATTCGTCGATATACGCAACGCCGTACAATAATGAGAAACAACGATCGTTTCTGTGATGTACACGCTCTCATTGTATATCGCCCAGCGGCGAGCACTTGCTGCATAACGGTTTGAGGAACGTTAAACGGAATAAAATAACGAGCATTTAGCATAGAGAAACGCGTGGCCTCTGATTCCTGACTTGCACTTGCTTTACCGGACAGAACCCATGAAACTGAAAATCCTCTGATATCCCGCACCCTCGCTGTTCGTACGCTACGGTTTCGCGCGTCTATTCTTCACTCGCTTTGCGGTTCGACGCCGCCGCCACAATATGCACGCATCCGACGTTACAATAAACGGATGACGAGCAGCATCCCACGTGTCTGGATCCCGCGGCTACATTGGGCGGAAATTTATACGCTATAAGGCGCACACGCCGAATCCATATATCCAGTTACTAACGAGACAGTACGAGCAAGCCGCTAACAGTTGCGTTAAATAAATTTGTACGTTATTGTTTTACACTGAGAGATAAATGTTACGTATAACCATTCGTTTTGTTTATGTGACTAATTAAAACTTTCTTACTCTTTCATTTAAAAATTGTGTTGTCTTAATTTTAGTTAAGGCAACAAAATTTTTGCTATCCTAATTAAATTTCTAATCAAAATTTAATTTTTTTTTGGGCCAAATTAAATGTTGGCTATTCTAACCAAATTTTGGTTAAAATAACCAAATTTTTATAAGACGACACAATTTTGAAAAAGAAAGGAAATTTTTGTTAGTCACATGTCGACAAAATGGATGGTTATACGTACCAAACATTTCTCTTAGTTTACTCACATATATGTATAAAAATTTACATATTTTACGAGATCGTGCTTTTTTAAGCACGACGCGCGACGGTTTAATATGTCGCGACGCGATATATTCTCATTTAAATTCTTAATGAAAAGAAAATAATACAATTGTAATATCCTATATTCATAAACTTTTGAAATAGCTGCATGCGAAACATTTTTGAGATAATTTTTCTTATGTAGTAAGAAAATGTTGGCGAACAAATAAGATTTGTTGAAGAGAGTACTTTGGAGTAGCCTTTATTCTCCGCGCCTTTTACACGGTTTCGTCATCGCTCAGCATATTGCGAATTTCCTGACGTTGTGGTTGGAAGTTTGCGAGTATTTGACCTTAACAACACACCATTTCACGCACCTATCCTTCCTGTATTCTATGACACGACAGGGCCGCTGTAAACGTGTATCCGGCGTTATAATAAACGTTGATGGGCCTCATTGCTCGCAGCTACAGCTGAATTCCGCGCGCTCGTTCAACGAAACCCAACCTATTATATAAAGTCGCGTTTTTGCAACCAAATTCCTGCGCGCGTTTAGCTAAAGCCCGCAAAAGCAAATATTAAATTCTCGCAAGTTGACATTTAATTACTTCAAGATATATCTGACTTGCTACCTAAACGTACAAAGTGTCTCAAAATCACTGTTACGATAACGTATAATAAAATTGCTTCTTTTGTTATACGTATAAAGAGTGTCAAAGCTTTTTCAATTAAAATTTGTTTCGACAAGCACTTTGTTGTTATACTTCTTAATTACATTTTGTACGTTAATTATTTAATATTAATTAAAACACGATATTTTCTTATGTATATTTTTTAAATTCAATTTACCAAAAATTTTTACACATTTTATTTGCTTTTATCTATTAATATCAATAATATTTGTTTAACGTTAATATTTATTAAAAACTAATTTGGACTGTTTAACACATCTTAACACTATAGTTTTTTCCTTGAATGTTACATTATGACGACAGCATGAAGGCCGAAGAAATTCTTCCCTATATTACTTGTAAATATAAAACAAACAAAGAACACAAGATGCGCAAGAAAATATTGCGCGATCCTAATATATGAATATTATGCTATAGTAAAGCATCAATTCAAACATCAACTTTATAATGAATGTTAATGAACATTGTGGGGAGAGAGAGAGGAGAATACGAGTTCCGTTTTCATCACACACTGTAAATATCAGTTCATCCTTGTTGTCTACTAAATATTAAACAAGAACAAATGATGCTTACACGCGCTGTGAGCGCAAAACGGAATGTACCCTAAATAGGTGTATCAAAATAAAGCTGCATAAATGAAGTTAAGTCTTTCAGCATGTAATCGCTGTGCAAAAAATAAGCAAACAAAAGCACCAAGACCACAAATCCTGTCGGCGCTGATGATGCCCAGCACAAAGACGCGTTATTCCGCCGAAAGAAATCCTCATAACGAATGTCACGGGCCGCAGGCCCGATGATTCTCCGGTCGTTGCCTTTGTGCTGGGAAAAATCCGCACGTTAAATCTCATGCTTGTCAACCGACACCATTCTTCTTCTATCTGCTCTAGAGCCCGACGCCGCCGCAATACGTGTTCTGGTATCACAATAACCGGATGATAAACTACGACACCACGCGCGGCAGCGTGACCGTACAAACCGATCCAGGACCAACTCAAAGCCGGCTGACGATTCGCCAGGCAGTGGAGACGGACACGGGCAATTACACGTGCAGCGCCTCCAACACCAAGCCGGCATCGATCTTCGTCTTCGTCACTGAAGGCAAGTATAAGCAACGTGTTTCGTACAAAGCGAACTTTCTTAATCAATATAACCCCATCGCGGTTGTCCCGGCAGTCTCTTAACTACCTTCTCGATCCGAACGGATATACCTGGCGTAATTATCCTCGGATGAGCAAAATTAAAAACTTGCATCGATCCAAACCGATTTTACAGACATTCGATAGTACTCGTATTCAAACTGTTTTAAGCAGATTTTTGAAAGATTCTCATTGAATATTTAACTACATCGAGATATTTAATACTGAAATTGCTGACATTGCGAAGAAAGATTAGGTGCATCAATCATGATTTCATCAAGAATACATCGGCTCGTCTAAAATCGTCAGAAAGTCTGGCTCGAGAGAAGATACGCGATTTCTAGCGGAATTTTCTGAGCCACGCGAAGAAAAGAAAATCCACTCCTAAATTAAAAATGTCACCATTCTGATTGAAAGTATTTATTCTTCTCGCTATCCAACGTTTTCCTTCATGTACGTTTTTTTTTTTTAAACATTTTCCACGATTATATATAACATCACACATATAAATATACGTAAACATACCGTAAAAAAATAATATTGTAAATAAAAAAAAAAGCAAGCTCAGATCTAACAAACACACACAAGAAATATACTAATAAAAAATGTTTTTAGGCAGACAGAGTGCAGAGATTTATAACAATGAAAATCGCATTGTGCACGAGGAGAGGACATGGAAACAAAACATTTTCCAAAATTGTCTAACGTCCTCGTCCTAATAAAAAAAAAAAATACGTTTATTTGACGACAGCATCCCAGATTCCGCTTCAACACACAGTTCCCTTTTTCCGATGCGAATGTTTCTGTTATTTCCACGTTTTGCACACGTGGGTTGTGCGTGGAGTATACGAGGCGCTGCTACCGCGCGTATTGTACGCGCGCGTGACATGCACGACGATGTGCGTGTGCATGAAAGAGAACGAGTCTCCTCGGTTCTTCAACGATCGATCACTCATCGCCGCCGGTCACCCTTCGATGTGTATATATAGCACGATTTAACCCCTTTCTAACAAAGGCTTGCGACTGGAGAAGAAGCCCAAGGCTTTTACTGCAAAAAGCGGTCCTCGTCGGCTCCGCGTTGTCGTCGAAAAACTCGCGCGCGCACGGTGCTCCGTGATGACTTTAGCGGCGCTCGCAATTTTAAGTCCGCCAGGATCGCCGCGGTAATTGATGTGAAAGGATGAGGACAGAGTCGCGAAAATCTTAATTGGATTACGAGAAACTCGGTCGGCCAGAAGATTTATTATACGGATATATATACGGGCAGAGAGAGAGAGAGAGAGTGAGAGAGAGAGAGAGAGAGAGAGAGAGAGAGAGAGAGAGGGGAAGAGAAGGGACGGGCGTCTCGATCCGGAACCCACGCTTTTGCGGACTTTTGATATATGCACGTCGCCACGAAGAAATTGTCGATCTTATGCGATCGTAGCCGCGATTAAACATGGAATATTACGTTCTAATTACGTTGGCTAACCGGCGTATATTCGTCTTATGTGTGTCAAATTTAGCGGAATTGCTTGAATGGAAATGGCGTCTTGTTTCTGTTCGAAGGCTATTTGTTTCTAAGGCTAATATTTCATCTATCATATAACAAACTTTTCAAGTGTGTTGATTGATTATAACATAGAGAATTTTCTGGAAATTTGAGAACTTCTCTATTTCTATAGCCAGTCAATAATACATTTGAAAAATTTGTGCTACAAATGAAATATTATCCAGGCTGATATTTCAGATGACAAAGCTTTTGAAACCTATTGATTGGCTGCAGGAGATTTCCTTTCTGTCCTGTAGCCAATCAACACGCTTAAAAAGTTTATCATATGACACATGAAACATGAGTCTAACCTGGCAAGAGAGGGAGAGAGATAAAGTAAATGGAAGAGCAATCGTCTTGCAATGCATTTGGCTTCAAATTAATGAATGATGTACATTAAAAGGATTCTATGTGTGACGCTTTACACAGCAAAATAGAACGGTTTCCGTCGAGACGATTGAATGAGAAATCGGTATAGGCTCCTAGCCTCTTAGCCGATAACGCGCGCGGAGTCGACACGCGAGAAGCGGCGAGTCCATCGCGTGCGTGATAAACCGCTATACGAGCGTCCCTTCTGTTCCGCGAAGTACTAAGCTTTCAGGTTAAATTTTGAAGATATGGACTCCATTACCGCGGCACCGACGCACACCGGGACCTATGCGAGTGTTCGCATGTACGTAGCGAGCCGGGCGCCGCACAGCCCCGTAATTCACGGCCCCGGGAACATATGGAGCGACGCTTCGCGCCGTAAATTACGGTAAAAGTGTGCATGCACCGCGTTTCAGAGGAGACACGTATCGCCGATGAATGTTGCAAATCTGACGGTCCGCGCGCAACGGTGCGCACCATGAATTTTGATATTCGGGAGACAGGAAGAAGGATCCGCGCGCGAGCGCGCCGCGCCGTCGCTTTTTTTTGATTTGCCTCGTTTGGCAAATTTACGACGGGATTATATCACGCCGGGCACTCTCCGAGCGCGATGATATATCGATAGGCCAGGTCAAGGCGGCCCACAATATATTAATGACGAACGGTGACGCAATGCCAAGTCTAGGACAAATGCGGTCGTCGACGTAGGCGCCGCGAAGTCGTCGTGCTATTGTCGAGTCTGTTCGCGATCAAGTCGTGCGATGCCCTTATGTATAATTAGCTAGAGTTTTTTTACATGACCTATTCTAGTACGAGCTATTGCGAAATCCTTCTCTTTCTTACTGTAATTTTACAATATATAAGACTCGACCGCAGAGCCATTTTTATCTTTTTGTGGTCTAAATTATTTTACGCAAGGGAGTATTTTGTCCTCTACATCTATAATAATAATAAGTGATGACATAAATCTAAGAAATTTTAACCAATGAGACGCACGTGTACGGTCCTCTGAGACTTAATGTTTAACAAAGAAAATTTATTGTTTAGAAGAATTGATAGAGATGTGATATATAATTTACTGATTTTCTAATCTAATGTTTTGAAATATTTGAAGACCATTACTCGTCTGACTCGATACAGGACAGCAAAAGATTAAATAGCTTGAGAATTAATAAATTCTTTGACCAATTTTTTTCTTTAGGTCGCTTGCTAGTTTTACTTAGAGACCCTCAAATAAAATTCTGGTCACATAGTCTTTTCATGAGATAAATATGACGAAAATGGCTATGTATTACAGAGTACAGGCAGGCAGGGCCACGTAAACCTTGTATGATTTACTATACATATATCATATAACCTACAATACAGAGTCAAATATTGTTGCTATGTTTTTCTCGTGACTAGACTTGCTAGAAGATCTCTAGTTTTGCTTATATATGTTTTAAATGTATATTGTACAATAATAACTAAATTAATTCGTATTAAAAAATACGATATTCTCACGATGTGATAATTGTATTATACGTAACATTCAATATTTAAGCATCGATAAATTTTTGGAAATATTTTATAATAATGTTACATGTAGTGTGTCAAAAATATTAAACGGAAAATTCAGTATAAGGCACATATACTGTCTTCTGCAGTAAAGAATGCGAAGAGATTTCAAAGTTAGCTCGAAAGGCAACAATAATTTCACTTTTGTTCGACATAACAAAAGTAAAATTGTTCTTTCACTTAATATTGCATAGATTTTTTAAATTTTCACGGTAGTAATTTCTCTCTCCATCCGGATTACAAAATTCTTTTCATGCCCGACACTGAAGCTTCGTTGAATTACTCGCACGCACTCGACATCTGCGTTATAGTGAAGCTTGGCCGCGTAACGTCAGGACACCGACACATATCTATTTCACTCTCGCTCGCGACGCGAGATGGAGGAGATTAATTATTACGGGCACGTGATAATGAGATGAAATCCCCGCTAGCTACATGGCGCGTTGCCTTTTGACCGAGATTTTTGACCCCGTTGCGAGAGAAGCGTCACTAGGGTCTCGACGGATGTGCGTTAATAGCGAATTAATAATAGCACAGCTCTTAAAGTATGAACTGTTCGGTTATACCCAGGGCACTTGAACCAGGTACAATTATGTGTATAAATATTGCCCACAAGATTATTGCATTTCCCGATGTTACGCGACGCAGCTGTAATGATAGATCGTCGTAATTACTAGTTAGTTCCCGAGCCAGTTAACTCGCGCTGTTCCGTCTACTCGCGAATTATTTTGTTCTACTTGTGCGACGGAGGTACGTCGCAAAATCGTTAATGAATACTGTAGAACTTGAGACATCCGGGAAATTTCGCGAGCTTTCGCGCGCAACGCGCGAGCCGGAAAAGGAAGGGAAGGGTATAGAAGAGACTCGGTGTCGCGATAAATTATCTAAACGTTGCGCAATGCCGGGAGTAAATTGGCTTAGCGCGACGATACTAGATCGCAATCTTGTTAAAGACGGGCGGACACACCTTTGCTACGTCCTGGAAGACGGCACGTTAAACCCAACTTCTGAACTGAGCGTCGACGAAGCCCCGCAGCGATTTTCCGGTTCTCTTCTCCAGTTGTCATCAGCTCGTAAACCGGTGTTTGCATCTAACGCGCGATATATTCCGATCGTTGTCTTTTCTCAGTTAACCGTGAGAATCGCTCGTAAACTCTTATTTGCACATTTCTTCCAATTATAGCACGTTCAAATAATCCACATTGTCGTCGAGATTCCTAATACGGCTCTATAGTTATTTGGTGGACGATAAAAGTTGTGTGAAAATAGCAAGTAACTTGTCCAATTTTTATACATTGAGAAAAAATTTATTAAATTTTAATAAATATGTATTTTTTCCTTTGAGTAGTCATAGCGAATTATTTATACTTACGGTAAATAAATTAAAAATTTCATGAGTATTTTCCTGAATAAAGAGGAAGAACAAATGTATTTACGAACATTAGATCGCAAATATTTTGTTATCGAAATAACGCACACAGATAAATTTAAATAATGGTCGAATA